TATAAAGACAGCCATTAGAACGGTTTCCTGAATCATCATACACAAGAAGACCAATCAATGAATGCACACTTTAAGTTAGAAAATCCATGCCAATAGGCAACTTGATGATGAAAAAACAAATGTGTGAAAAATGGACAAACTACGCAAGAACATTTTCTACTACCAAATATATAGGCCTAGCCTACCACATAAAAGACAAAAATCTTGCTGCTTTGTCACTTGTGCTTTGTCATATATAAAATACATGTACTATACAGGACTGCGAAACAAATAAGCTGGAGAGGGCCCTGTGGTTGCAGCATTAGACATAAACTAAAATAAAATAAACATGCATAATCTTTTCACAGAAACATCATAACCCATTCTTCTCAACATAAAATCTGCTCCTTATTCTGAATTTTCTCGGCAGAAACAATAATGCACTCTCTATTTTCTCAACAGAAGCATCATACAAATGTAACTCGCACCTCATTGTTTATCATTGAAACATTGTAATTTAAAACTCATTCTTCATCACGACTCATTCCACTTCTCAACACTGGCGCTCATATTCTTATTCATACCTTATTCAGTTGCGAGCGCCGTAAAACCTCCACTGAAACTAAAAACTTCTCAACAGAAAGACCATCTTGTGATCTTAACTTAACCCCTTCGTTGCCTTATGATGAAAATGCATAATCTTTAGCGCTGTGCCCTACCATGTATGTCACGGAAGTTGGCAAAATTTACCGCTCCTGGTTGCCTACGTATGACGTTACATGTATGTTACCCTAATAACCTAGCTCTAATTCTTCTGTACGGAGTTAAAGTTAAAGCCACAAGCACTGCGTAGATTCATATTCCCAGATAAAAGACGAGCATATCTATACCAAATTTGCTCATATTTCTTTACTGCTTAGCTTGCAAGCGATTGTAAAAAATAGATCTAGGCTTGGGGGCGGTTGCAAGCTGTCGTAAAACATAAACATCGAAATGACTTTAAAAAGGCAAATAAATTCACTTTTTTGACTTAGATTTGCAGGTTATTTGAAATTATGAGTCAAAATTATAGGAGGAAAAGGGGTACCGGTATAAGAAAAGTAAACAATCGAAGACCGGTGTCCAAAATATGTCATGAGTGTGCTAGATCTAGACTACGCGCCCATTAACCGACTAAGACATTGGGCTGCTGTCCTGGGTAACGAGCTCAACTGAAAATCAGTGCTGACGGTAGTAACGTATATACCCTGGCAACGAAAGGGTTAATCTCCATGATCTCAATGGAAACATTAAAGCTTATTTCCAATGATCTCAACACACACTGCAAACACATCATTATGTTCACAACCCTCTCAACAAAGAAAACATAATAGCTCAACCACAGAACAAAATAAATCAGAGGCTGAACAATGAAGAGTCAAAGTTTATTTTTAAATAAAGCTCTTTTTGGATAACATCATTAAATCAAAATTAACTTTTGAAAACGTACAGTAGTGTCTACTTAAACAGAAATCTTTAGGACCATCAGGCTTTTTTTTTTGCTTTAGCCAGTTTTGGTTAACCCTATCCGTATGCCCTGGGGTCATTTTGTACCTTCGGGGCTGTATTCTTCACATTTTAGAATGCTTCTAGTACAAAGATCTCTTTGAAAGGTTTAGTGTTTGTCAAAAAATCATTTTGACAGACTGCTATGCAAAACGTACGGATTGGATTAACGAGTAAATTTCCTCTTTGGAAAGTTGTGGCACAGAGTTCCCCGCGTTGTATGGATACGATAGTAAAACACGACATATGGATAGGATCAAGAGAAGGTGCTTTTATTTTCTTTCAGTACCACTGTTTTCAGTCTCATTTTATAAAATATTTTCTTGTGTTTGATGTACTGTTTTTTGTTTTGTGAATCAATACTTAGGCTGAAAGTTATTAACCCTTATTATAGGGCCTACCCGTAAATTTTTTTTGTCCTGAACAGAGAAAAAAAATGAAAATGGGAACAGCAGAAAGTTAATACATTAGCTATTTCATGAGGAAAATAAAAAAAAGACACAGCAAAGAGTGCTTGTAAGTAGAACAGGGACGGGTATCATGTCAATTAATAAATGTAAGAAGATATTAGGTTTATATATCTGAAATATCCCTAGAAAATTCCTGAACCCACTTTAGTGTTTTAACCCTATTACTATTACTGTCAGTTGTAAACTTGTACATATCAGGGAAAAGTCATAGAAACAAGGGTGTACCTTTAGATGTAAGACATGAGTGATGGATACAAATACCAGAAAACTATGGAAAGCTCTTTGAAAAAGCTATATCCAACACTGAAAACTGAAAAAATTTACGATTTCCAACATTTCTTCCCTATCTGCCGGAAATCTCGGAAACTGCCAAGGACCCGATGGAGCCATTTTCACTGATTTGCAGAATCGCGGCCGCCGGAAGTTGTAAGTTTAAATAACGGACAATCTTTTGTGTTTCTCTGGCTCAAAAAGAGTTCTAATAACTACAGGAGTAGTATTTTTAAAAATGAGTGCACTTTCGTTCAGTGTCCGTATTTTCGGGGTACGTGTAGACCGTTTCTGGAAACTACCCATTTTATCAACAGTAACAGTCTGGCGGCAAAGAAAGTGGGGATCTCATTAGCACTTGCCAGCAATAGGTTTAACAAACGTTGGCAGCACAGCAGTCAACCCTGATAGTATAGTCAAGTTAACCATTCATCAAGTCAAAGAGAATAAACTTCAAAACGACAAGAGGTATGACAGAACTTCCGCCAATGCTGTATGCAATAGAATAAAATTTAAAAATCAACAAAAAACAAATCAGGGTTGAACAGATTGCACTAGATCCCTTTAGGATAACAAAAATGGGAAAGATACAATGTAAAAAATAAAATAAAGCACAAGTTTAATGAAAATTAAGTTCATAAATCATCTCGCTCAAACCATATATATATGCAATCTCATCTTTCTACTAAAGCACTTTCACATCATGTACACACACATATACATAAGATATGTAAGGCATTGTGGAGAATTCAGGCGCTTGTCAAAATAATAAAATCGAAGATATCAGCATTTTTTGCCAGTTTGGCCATTTTTATCAAATTTTTGTTGAATTCCTTTTATGCCCATTTAAAAACACATTTTTGGGTGCCTTTTACTTAAAAACGTTGATTAAAGGCACAAAAATGTAACTTTTCAGTTTCCAAGGACTCTCAAGCTATGGAAGTCACCAAACTTAGGTGGCCATTCTCTCGCAAATATAACATCTGAAACCAGGTGACCCCAACCTCCCTCTAAATCGAAAATATCTTGACTTCTATTCAAAGATAGATGAACAAACTTCAGGATGATACCTAAAACTTGACATGCCCAAAATTTGAAGAACGCCTTGTTCCATCGTGTCGTGACACATACACACACACTGCATCCATTATAATGGATCTACACATGATACAAGATAACATGCAAACATTTTTAGACACACAAACACTCTTGAGCATACTATGCCAACACAGCTTTCACACATCACAGGTCTGCCAAGATTTTCACACTCACACATTACCAGTGTTGATACAAATGTGAAAACATATACATGGCACACCCAAGCTCTCACTCACTCACAATGCGAATAAATCAGTCTTGCCACATCTATGCACTGACTAATAAAAATAAAATACGGTTTAAAGATGAAACCTTATATAAGTCACACTAAACACAAGAATGATATATAAAAATTAATAGAAATACTAACACCAAAACTGAAACATCTAGACAAATGTATGGATGGATGGATGGGAAGATTGATGGAGAGAGCAGGCAGATGGAAAAACAGGAAGGCAGAAAACAGAGACTTGCCCACATAAACAGACAGGTAGAGATGGATACAGATCAATTGACAGACAAGTAGATAGGCACGCACAGGAAAAACGCACAAGATAAAGATGCGCACAGAGACTTATCAAAACTCAGGCTGATCGACAGAGAGCAGTGCATCCAACAAGCAAAACTAAAAAGTAAGGAAAATTCTCTGCCATAAGTTCAGGGTGGGAGCGGTGGAACCTTCAATTTGTCATCGCATTATTGATAGAAGGCAAAGCCAAAAATAATTAATATTAATTAACCTAGACAATACAGTCACTCAGTCACCCAGCGTGTACCCACATTTTCCTTAAAACATCACTTCTGATCATTCTTGATTTTAGCATACATTTCTCTCCTTTATAACGCTCCCGTGGGATCATCACACTGACAATTTCTCGAGATCTGGACAAATTTAAAATAAAAAAAAGCTTCTTTCTGGAAGTGATTTTCTTTTTAAAATCACAATTCAATTTACTTGATCAACGCACAGATTTTCCAACCACAGCAAAAATCCAAAGTGAGACAGAAAGAATGAGTTTATTGTTTTAGTAGAGGTTTTACGGCACTCACAACTGCATAAGGTCATATGAGCGCCAGAATGATTAGAGGTGTAACAAGAGAGTAAAAAACATAAAAAAGAAGAAGGGGAAATAAGGACGATACATGTTTGATCATTGATAGGAAAGAAGAAGCAAACCACACCAGAGCACCCGCCAATCACTCACGAATGAAAGAAAAGAGAAAATGGGTACAAAACATTCACCATCATGACCAGCAAGATTTGACCAATCCGCAAGTCAAAATATATTGCCGACCAACGCGCAATGAATGCATAGAGAGATAATGGGTGAATGCAGGAAATACGCAATCTGAAAGGTTTTATAACATTAAAACTTAAACACCCGGAACCTATTCAAGATGACCTGTAGCCCATAACGGATCTTTTGCCACAGAATCTTGGTAGCCCTACCCTTCTGCACTTTCTTAACTGATGGAATTGATACTGATGGGAAAGCAAAATATGGAACTTTCAGAAAGTACCGATTGTCCTTTAAAAAAGATTGGAAGCATTGAGAGCCATGAAAGAGGGCTAGATAATTAGATGGGTAGACAAGCAGGCGGCAGACAGAGTGAAAGACAAAACACACTGACTTATTATCACAACTTTTAGTGTAACCCAACAACTTATTTTCGATTTTCCAAGAAGTATAATATCGCAGATTGCCCGGGCATCTCACGAAAGGTCTGCTGTCTTTGAAACCGACCTTTCCACACTGAAGTCATATGCATACTGGATGGGAAGAAAAAAATAATAAAATGATGAGTATCAAGAACATACGGGCCCATTCTACTTCTTTAAACAAGGCATGTGGAACACACAGGAAACACTAGTACTTCCTTCTACAAAACTCTTTCCAACTCTGTCAGATGGATTAATAATTTACAACAAAACAAATTTTTTTTAATGAAGTCAGTGAAATTAAATTTCAGACTTAATGATAAAGAAAGGAGTACATTTTAGAGTTCAATAGTTTAGTTATGAACAATATTGTTAGCCACCTACTTACATTCCTCTCCCAACTTGTTTTTCAAAAGAATATTCCATCTTTACATGGTAATGGATGCTATTGAATTAGCGCTGTACAAATGCTATTTAAAATTATTTTTACTGCTACTATAATCATCACTATTGCTATTATTATCATTTATTATTATTATTATCATTAACCTCATCTAGTACCATTCTGGCCTTGGAGATTTGTCAAGTGTCCCAAAAGAAGATCTCCCCTTGTGGAGTGCTTGCTTGTTGCAAAAATGCACTCAAAGAGCAGAGACGGATAGCAGTTTTTTGGGGGTATTTTTTCAAATATAAGAAAGGGCTGGCGTCTGCCCCTTTCCCAATGAAAAGAAGTGAATTACAGACAAAACTAAAAACTTAAAAGTACAAAAATGTGGAAAGTAACCAACACTGATTTCAGCACATAGAGAGAAAAATATCTCAATGCATTACCTGATTTTCAATGTCCATTAGCGTCTTTCCTCTAATTTCTGGTATGGTCACCTGTGCACAAAAAGGCAAGACATTAGAATTAGCAAGGTGAGGTTTTTCTTTTCTTTTTTTTTTTTTTTTGGTATGATTTTTAAGCTCTACTACTACTAGACATAAATACGTCACAGCACTAAAAGGAGAAAACTAGCCTTGGTGGATACAGTAAGAAAGAAAGAAGGAAAAAGGGCAGAGCTGATGCATTATAAAGTAAAATCACACAGGAACATGCAATGAGGAAAGATGGTCATGTGTTTTATTCCACTGATCGCGGGCAGTATTGCATACAGATGTATCACAAAGGCTGCCAAAAAAGACTTGCGTCTGCATGCAATACTGCCCGCGTGATAGAGAAGCAAACATCGTCAAACAATGTCAGTGCCACAGCGTTAAGGTGGGTGGTCACTACAGAACGTCCTTGAGCAGGACTTTCTAACCTTAGTGAAAAAAAACAAAAAAACTGGACTCTGTGGTGGAACTACCAGGGGTCACATCTTTTGTACCGTAGAATAGGCATGAAAAGCTGTTGGCCCTTATAGACATCCCTTCAAAGTACAGGTTTATATATTAAAAAGTGTGCACAGGCCAAAGCCATTTCCCGATCTGATCTTATTATGCAAATCAGGTCAGTTTGACCAATGGCCATCTATTCTAAAATATGAGATTGAAAAAAAAAACCCAGAGCCTCTTCAAAATCCTTAAAACACAGTAAATTTACATTTCTTCTAGGCTCTGCAGTTATTTATTTGTTTTTATGTGCGAATAAATAAATTCTCTACGATCTATATGTTCGGAAATAATGAAAAGACAGCATCAATTTTTAGGTCCTGTGAAAACTTAAAAAACCACCAAAGAGTCAGGTGGGAATTGGCTACTTCTTGCACTGGTGTCTTGGAAAAGAACAGTAGTGGGGAAAAAGTTCTGAAAACGACAATTTACTGCTAATTTTATGGTCATAGGATAAACAATTCCCAGAACCAAAGCGACAAGGACTGGGATCAGGGTTCAATTCGTTGCCACGACTGCTGCCTCAATATAGTTTTGGAATATATGGGTTTTCAGCCAGTAAAAAGCTTTCCCCAAATACAGATAGACACTTATCAACCTGCTTTACTAACTATTCCAACACTGGGCTCTATTTGTATTAGATATATTTGACACTTTCATCTTGACAGACGATCTTAAAGCAGTATGAAACAGCTTTGCCTGAGTGGTAAACATAGAGGAAAAAGATTGCCCAAGTACTACTTGCCCCCCTTTAGATCTTGATATCCTTCAAATGCTCCAAAGGAGAGACATTGTCAATACATCAAGGAAGGAGTAAGTATTGTCTAAACATATTACAAGTGCAACAGGAATATATTTTACGGTAGGGAATTGTAAAAAATTGAATTTTGCACCAATGGCTGCATAACAGTCTACTTACTCTTCTTCAATTTTCAAACACCAAAGGATATTTCCATACCTGCCAACCACTCCATGATCAAAAATGGGAGTTTTCCAGAGAAACCTCCCAAAGCTACGAGTTTGGGGAGGAAAAAATTGGAGTCTTCAGAATCCTAGGAGATTCAGATAAATGTAACAAACAGATCTGGGCAAGTAAGCATTTACTGCAAATACCCACAAATATAACTTTTTTTCATTACACTTACAATTAATTGTGCAAATATTGCTATTAAACACATACATACATTTTTTTTTGAACTTTCACATCATTTATAACGAATTCAAGAAAAAAAAAAAGGATTTGCTGCAAATCCAACCAGGGTTCTTAGAAGGCAAAGACTAAAAATCAGAGAGCCTCAAATTTAATGCAGTACTTGGAAACTTACATTCTGCAGCTCCATCAGCACATTGTACTTAGGGTTCATCTTCCACTCAATGCCAGAGAGAGCTGTAGAGAGGAAGCAAGAGCAAAAGTTTCTTATAGTGACCACACCATCAACATACCAGCTCGTCGAACAGTGAGTATTCTTTTTAAAGAGCATTTTAAAATTCTTCTCCAATGTGCATGTACCTGCCTTACTTATTTCATTGTAATGTACACTGAGCATCTCATGGGTATGAAAATGGGCAATATAAATGCAATTTATAATTAATCTATTACTGTTAGAGCATTCACATCACCTTGAATAAATTACTATACACAGATATGTTAGTCCTCAGCTAAAAATGATTTGTGAGTCTTTAAGTAAGATATATTTTGGTTCACATCCGGTGAATGATGATGGTTTCATTTTTCATATATATGGATACCAGGTTGGGGTGTCCATCAGAAATTTTATCACCTGTTTATTCTGATAAGGAGGCTAGAGTGTCAATTTGTGTCCCTTTCTTTTCATTAAGGACAAAATATTAGTCACAGGGAGGTTACACTTGAATGAAAGTAGTATTGAGTTATTTAAATTTTTTTTTTTTTAATCCACACAATACCGTAACAGTCATTTAGAATTAAATTTGAAAAAATAAAGAAAAGTGTTTTAATTCAGTTAAAAGGCCGAGATAATGAAAGGTAATCAAACTTTACTGAGTGAATGGATGTCACTTTGATGCAAACAGGAAAATATCAGACAAACAATAAGAGCGTATTTTAAAAATCTCGGCTAGATGGAGACTTCTGAGGTTTGCAATACTTTCATATTCTCACTGCTTAGTGTAAGACTCCACCATATGCCATTATGAAAAATGATGTATGAAAGTTTTACACTGAGCTGGATATATTATATACCAAAATCAATCCAGACAACCGAATTTGTGAAAAAGTTAGCAGAACTGAGTTGATAGTGGTGCCGAACTCAAGCTCAGACTCACGGTTGACGTTTCCAGTGGCCAGGCTACTCGAGGACTGCTCCGGTGGACCTGTGCGGGACATAGTGGCAGATGACCCAAGCGGCCCGAGACCTTGACTCCCCGGACTCATCGTGTACGGCAGACCCGACCCCACTGGAATACTGGAAGAATGCACCGGACAAACAAACAGCAGATTGAATCAGCACTTTGTTGGAGGTCACCAAACACTTCAATTCATAATTTCATGTGCCTTATCTTTCAACTCAGTTATTGAGTATACAAAGAGTGACAGTACTGAAAGTTTGAAGTGTGTTTCAAAGTTATGAAATGAAAGTTGACTTCTTTTGAGAAAATTGACAATGCAAAATTTAAAACACTTTTTAGCCATATTTTATGCAATTTGGACACCATAGGATGTATAATTTAGTACAACTGCTAACTTGAAGATATTATTCAAAGAACTCATTTCAGTTTAACATTCTGATACGCAACTTCCGAAAAGTAATTTGTCGTAAAAAATGTCATAAAGGAAAGTGCCCCAGCTGCTGTCAGTATTTTTATTTTCAACCCTGTAAATATTAAACAATACTTTGAGCTGGAAATATGTTAATTTTACTTTTTGACTGACCTATCTCAAAAGTATTTTAAGACAACGACCAAGTATTATGCATCGTTGGAAAGCTCGGACTGTGTACAAGATAATAAAAAGTAGTGCAAATACATTGATAAAAGAAGTGCGCATCTAGATTAGTGTGCCACTATTGATGTTTGCAAAGAAAATCAAGTGTTATCTTTAAGCACCGATATTCGCAGACAGATACCATAATTCTTACTAAAACAGCTCGCTTGATCTCAACCAGTCACAGGAAATTTCAGACCTGCCACTCTATAAAATCTAAAAATCAGGATTTATGAGTTTAAAAAACCAGGATCTGGTGAAAAAAATCGGGATCAACGGCAAATCAGTCATAAAGGGCACGGGGGGGGGGGGGGGGGGGTGTCCTGGTTCCCTTTTATGAGGCAAGTATGCAAGACAAAACTTTTGCAGGAATAGGTTCACGTCTGAGCCTCAAAAGAGAGGGAAAATTGTTGAAAGACAGCATATATGTACTCAATCGAAGTTGGATAGACTGGGGGAGCGAAGGTTGCAGCGTTGCTGAAACACTCGTAGTCTTGAAAATAGCTGACACGTAACTAATCATCCACGCAAAACGCCCACGTTTTAACAACGTTTGACTTCCATCACATCGAAAAAAAGATCGCGCCAAGGTTGTTCATTTTTTTCCTTCTTATTCCTTTCCCCTTAATTAGTACCTGTGTCACGGCACGCACTTTAACCCCAAGTGT